TCTGCAATCCATGGAGAAAGAAGACAGAACCTCTCTCTGTTATTAAGGAGGTAACTTAAGGAGATTAACCTCACTAAACTGAGGTTAACCTTTATGAACAACTCCTTACCCTTTCTTAATGTGGTAAAAAATGAGAAAATTCTTCCAAAGACTGGCTTATTTTCAGAGACCTTCCTCAATGTTTACTACCAGGGGCAACAAAGCACACAGAAAACTTGTGCCAGCTGTTTGACTATACAGTGATATCATTCCAGAAGCCAGAACTGTTTTCTTTCTTATACTGATCCATCAGCAGCCTATAGTTCTGGTTCCCTGAGCACTGCCCCTGCAGACCTGGCTAAAGCGCACCTGAGCTCCTTTCCAGGGTAAGAGGTAAGGAACCTAGGGATAGACAGAAGAATACGCTCAAATCTTCCATAGATATAATATTTGGACGTGAATGGGGCATGTAGCCAGACCAAGGAACTCAAAAACACTCTCAGATCTTGCTGTATGGACACAGCCAAGATGACCAGCACATGTTTGCAAAGATTTGTGAGACTGTCAGTGACACCAGAGTCTGTGTGTGTCCGTGGCAGCTTTTCAGCATGCCTCTGCTGGGCTTCTAACATTAACATTCCTTTCAATCAGGGATGCAGAGAGGAGCTAATGACTCATAGCTCCTACAGGTATGGAGTACTTAAAGAACTGAGTGCCATGCCATCTCTTGTAATTATGCTGATAGGTTTGACAGGCCTAGAAACTTTAATAACATCTTAAAAGCAGACTTCCTGAAGTAAACAAGAAGCTCTTAACTAGAGGGAAATGGGAGAAGCAGAACGTAATTGCCTGTTGCTTTGCTGCTTGTTTCCTCTTTTCTAAGGCAGTAATTCCTCCACATATACCTTAGTTCTACAAAGCAAAGGAATCTCATGACAGCTCTCATCACCCAAAATTATATTCACAGGCTTATCCTGATTTTCTGATGATTATAAACTAATAGTCTTACGTTGTGCACAGCTGGGGATTTTCCCAAGGACAGCACACAATTTTGATTGTCTTAGAGGACAAAAAAAAAAAAAGTAGTAAAAATCTGTAGTAATTCTCCTCAATGCAGTTGACACAGGGAACATTAAGCTTGATGCCAGAAAAGCCCATCTTTTATGGGATTCACTGCTTTACACGTGGAAGCATGTGCTAGGTCATTCTCTGAAGAATATCAGAGGAACTCCAGTGTCTCAGGTACCCAAATTCCGCTCTTTGCTTTTTTATGCAAGTGATTGTTCAGAAGATTCACCAAAAGACTAAAGCAGTGTTTTTAACAGAAAAAAAAGGTGGGGTTTTAATTCAGAATGTTGATTGTCATGGTTTCAAATAAGTATTGCCATCTAACTTGGGCATTAGAAATTAGAAGACTGAAAATGTTTAAGGAATTAAGAAATCTGTTTCTTTATTGGCAATTGTGTATTGCTAGCAAGACTGCTATGTATTTATTTTAAAAGGTATATTTTCAAAGGAGAAGATTAAAAAAGAATAAAGTATTTTCTCCTTAGAACAAACTACTAGATCTCATGGTAGTAATGGCCCTGAGAAAACAGCATGAGCAAGAATGAATGACTGTTCGTCAAATTCAACATTTATGAAGATTTTTTTTTGAGTAATCTACAAAGTAAATTTCTGTGATAAGACTAGACTATTCCAAGAAAAAATTCCCCCCTCTTAGGCTTTTAATTTTGTAAGTTTCCTGTAATTTCTCCTTTAAGTTTTTCTAACATTCTCTCCTCTCAGTGTTGTTTTGTAATGAGCGTACCATGGTAGACCTTTCTGGACATTAAAATTTAAGTGAATGTCAAAGCCATCCCACTTGGCTTCATGACTCTTGGATCCAGAGGTTTTGAGATTGGAGAAACACTGAGAAAAGCTGTGTTTAAGTGTGGCCACTTTTGTAGCTGTGGCCAGGTTCTCTGTCATCTTCTTCTAACAAAACCTAGCACACATGAACCTGAGGGACAGAAGTTCTCCTAGAGATATGTCCCTAGGTAAAATGTAGCAACAATCTGCTTTTCTCTGCTAAATCATAGGAGACAAAAAGCTGCCTGAGGAGTATCCAGTGCTGGTTGGAGTTAAATATGACCAAGGGAAAAAAGCAGATGTTAAATTTTGGGATTTGTGCTGTGTTTTCCCTTAAAAATCTTTGAAAAATGCTCCTTGTCAGTCAATCTCAAGACAACAGAGAGTGGTAGAAATCACATTTTACTTTCTCTTGAAATCAGTACTTCTCCTTGTGTGCGGTAAGCAGCTGGGGCATCTCCTCAGAAGCTGTAAGGAGTTTCCTTTTATAGCTAAAAAGTTGGGCAGAGTAGACTATATAAAGGAAAATTTTGTCTTCCAGTCCTAGCCATAGATACATCCTTGTGGCTGGGAAGCACAGAGTTTCAACAGAAAGTAATACAATTATTTCTATCTTCACTTCCACCCACAATTCCCAAGGAATATTTGGAAGCTTTGACCTTGACTCAGAACCAGGAATTCCACCTCAGCCAAAAGGTATTCTTTATATTTGAAGTCTCTAGTGAAATACAGAGTGATGGAAGAAAAAAAAAATTCCTGACAGCTATTTCCTGTGCAAGTTAAAGGCAAATACTACCATTGATTATACTTTATTTAAAGGAACCAGAGTATGAGAAAAGAAGGCTTAAAATACTACTTTTATTGACATACTCTTTGCAACAAAATAAAAATTTCATTGGGTTTTTACCTCTGCAAATGATGTGGCGTTCTTAAAAAGTCCCAAGAAATCAAGCAACATTTTTAACTTCTAATAGTATGCTGCATTCTGTAGTACATTTGATATGAGGATCTCAATTTGTTTTACCAATGTTACTGGGATTACTTTTCTCTAGTTCTGTATTTTTGATTGAACTCTAACAAATAAGAGGGAGAGGGTTAAAACAGATTCAATTTCTTCCTCGTAAATAAGAAGTAGCCAGGTAGAGCACACACATTACTTGGCATCCAAGGGGCCACATACATGTCAGCTTCATAACATTCCTGTTGAATGATGCAACTGCAGGCTATTGATTGCAACTGTGCAAGACTCCTAAAATGGGGTGGTCATTCATAAGTAAAACCTTCCACAGGTTTCCACAGACAACAAGGTTGACATTTATAGTGTTGTTACATTATTTTTAGTGAAAACTCAGAATGTCAGAAAGCAACAAAGACTAGAGAGAAAGTCTAAACTGACAGCAGATAAAGGTCAAGATTGCAAAGGTAATGATCTCCTTTGAAACACTGGAAGCCCATCATGGTATTTGAAATTAAGGATGACCTAGCTTGGGGTAGAGGTTTGAAACAGATTGTGAAACCCTAGAATAACTGAGATTGAAAGCAAAGAGCATTATTGCTAACGATTAGCATTTCACATGACCTCTTACCTTGAGGATCACAAAGTACACCTAACAGTATGTATGATTGCTGGGCAATAACAGCTACTCTTGTGGAAAGCAAGCATGAGAGGTCTCTGAACCAGCAGCAAACATTTTGCTGGTAGAGAAACACCTGAGATTCATACACAGTAAAAGAACAGTTGCTCTGCTGTTCTATATGTATTGTCTCAATGTTTTCTGGTGCAGAAGCAAGAGGGGGAGATGACAGTCTTTACAGGCACTCCAGCAATAAAACATTTGTAGGACACTCAAATAATCCCTAACTCTGCTGCTAATAAATGCAACAGATTGTGGTGTAAAAATGAGCACCTGATGAGTTTGTAGGAAAATGTAAATTCCTGTATGAGAGATTCCAGTACTTTTAATGCTGTGTTTAGCACCAGAATACAAAGCTGAACAGCACCCTGGAGTAGGTGCTTATTCACAGGAGATGAAGTGTTAAATACAGAAAAGAAAGGTTCTTTTGTGAATAGTGGATTACTTTGTATACATAAAACTAAGGTTCCAAAAGTGAACTTTAATAAAATATGCCAATAAGATAGTGAAAATCTCTACAATTTATATGTTGAAGAAGGTAGAATTTTCTGTAATTTAGAAGTGCAAGTGTCTGAATTTGTTTTTACTGCAAGCAGGGAGAAAACATTTAAAGCAGTGACTTCATGAATAGAAATAAATAGGAATAGGGTGGGTATGATCAGAAAAACAAAAATGTTAGCAGAGAAGACAAGAAGCTTCAGTCATGAAGGAATATCAGGGAAATCAAAGAAATACATATTGTTATTAAAAGTAAATGCTAGCTTCAGAGGCTATAGGAGCACAAATTCTATCATGTTTTGAAGAAATGTATTATTGAATGTGTTCAGAATGAATATATTCCTAACTAAAAGTTTCATTAACTTTAAGTGGCAAATAGCTGAAAATCAGAAATAAATTTCTGTTACATAAAAGCTGAGTATTTCTTGATCCTCACTATTGCAGAGTTAACTTTATCTGTTGCCTGTACTGGTGTTAGCCTTTATTATCTCACCACACATGAATTTCCCTCCACCTGTATTTAAATGATGAAGCATGTGGATACTTGGATGCAGTAACTTTCTGCTTGCTGCCTTCCAGCTCTTCATTTTTTTTACACCAGATGTTGAAGCTTAGTGTGTTTTTAACATGAAAAAGTGTGTACTTAAAGTGTTTACTAGTAGTCTCACATAACAGGTACGTGTAGTTCTGCCTCATGAGTGTCTTGGGTTTGGTGTTTGCTCTCATTCATTTGATTTCAGTGACAGGTCAGTGGAAAGCAGGAACACAGCAGGTGAAATAGCGACAGCTGGAAAGTGTTGAAAAATAATAACAAGTCTCAAAATAAATTTTATCAGAAAGAGAGGTTTAACACAGGCACTACATTATTCCTCACTGAGGCTTTATGGTAACTGAAGGCTTGAGCATCTTCCAGGTATAAGACACCAGTCCTAGTTGGCAGCCTGGATGATCATAGCTAAACTAATCTACAGCACTTGCAGACTCCAGTGGATTACATGAAAGTGTTTAGCAGTTAAAGGAAAGAAAGGGAGGACTTACTGAAGTAAAAGCCTCTGTCTCCACACACGAACTGAAGAGCATCAACCAGCTCAGCACCACAGAGTGTCTCTGGGCCAGCAGCAACAGAACTGGTTAAGGTAAGCAAACACAGGCCAAGGTAGAAGAAATGGATGTAGGACGCAGTGTGCATCTTCACCTGCCAAGGAAGAAGAAGCAGTGTCAGAATTTCCCCAAAGAGTCTTACAAAAAATGACTCCTGCACACTTGTGAATGAGAATGAATATGTACTGTGATTTCTTGGACAATAAGCATGGTATCAGGAAATGTCTCCCCATGATTTTGCAACTGCCTACATGTCCTTGTCTATGTATTTTGGAAACTGATTATTTATTCTGGTGAATTCTCACAATCACATCTAGTTAGGGAACCCTGTAGTATCTATGACTTATATTTGCTTTTGGAAAGCAAAAGATGGAAGGGTGGAATAGGCAGACAAAGGGAAGCCTGGAATAATATAAATAAAGAAAACAACCTTGAATTGGTTTGTCTCAGACCAGGTAAGCTAAGAGGGAATATGACAGGTGCCTGCCAATGTACTGTGAGAAATGGGGGGGTGGCATAGGATGGAGAAAGGCTGTTTAAACTAAAATCAACATTGTCAGAAGAATAAATGACTCTAATCTTGCTGTAAGGAAATTTGGCCCAAGAGAAAAATAGTTCATTATTGGTACACCACAGTTCTCCAGCCACCTTAGAAAGGAAAACACCAGGAAAAACCAAAAATGTTGCAAGGTTCAACTTGCCAAAGTTACAGGAATTGATGTGGGATCTTCTGTAGCTGAAGACTACATTCATTCACTCTTTCAGTTCCCTGTTACTAGCAGGCAAACATTTGAGAAATTAAAAGGAGTGTGAATTTTAAAACATTAAAGATTTCTATTTTTACTTGTTTTAAGGAGCTATACTTCATCGACCTTCATTATCCCCTCATAGGCAGATGTGGCCATGAGGTTAATACAGAGGTGATAATTCTTTTCTCATTTACATTTGGTTACAAACTATCTTCCTGTACTTATGACCAAAGAAAGACCAGTTCTCAATGGGTGTAAAATTGCACCAATCCATTTAGTCACTTATTTTTGTATCCCTTTATGTCCACCCAATTTCTTACCCAACATGCAAAGAAGATAGCTTTTTCTTTTAATATTAAGAAAAGCTATTTACGTAGAGTAGCAGGACACTGAGTAATGTGCTTAATGCTTATTTTGAACTTGTTTAGATCACTTGCCAAAAATGATAGTTTTGAAAGGTGTAAATCTGCATTTAATTTCATTCTCTTTTAAGGTTAACATTAGCATTGCAGTCAGGTAAGAAGTTAAAAATCTGTCTTCCACATAGAGTTAAACTTGGCTTAAAACTGCTTTGTGTTAGCAGTCTAGTGCAAAGTAATTGAAAGTAAAATGATTCATCTTCCCTAAAGTTTCTTTCAGGGGTTCAGGGACCACTTAATCTTTAATATTTCTTCACTGAACTTTTGAAAAAAAGATGTAGTTATCTATTTTCTGATCAATTGGGATCTGATCCAGTGTGATATTGAGCCTTTTTTAGTCAATAATTTTTAAGAATTCTTATTTTCTTGGCAAGAGATCTTAGTGCCTTGCTGGATGAGTCTCTTATTTCCACTGTAAAAATAATGAATAATTTTAAATCCCATGATATACCATAAAAAAAAATTATTTTCCCATTCACAAGTGTCTTTAGCCAACTTTGCCATGCAAACCCCAACAAGCTCAAATGCATGATCATGACTTCAATGGCAGATGGAGAAAAATCAGATTATAAATGAATGATGATAACATGAGGCACTATTTCCTGCAATGATTCCATATCTTAACAACAATTTCTTTTTTCCTTTGCCATATTTTGAATTTATAAGATAAATGTGATGCACCTGCAGTTTAAGATGGTTCCCAGTTCTGAGGAGGTAAAGCAGAAAGCTGTTTAGCACACTGCCTCAGAAAGCTGAAAGACATTACAAATACAAGAACATTATGTATTTAACAATTTGTTCTCGTATAACATTTGGTCCAAAATTAAACATAAATTTTAGACATTTAACAATTTTTTATTTTTAAAGACTTCTCAGCTGGCTTGCATTTTCAGATAAATATCAGCACTGAACTACGACAAAACAGATTATCTACTGTTTTTCCTTTAGTGGAAGCCAAAAAAGACTGCACAGTATAAACCACAGAGAATTTCTAACTTTATCTCCAAATTTAACAGCAGTCAAGAACTTTCAAACAAGTAAAAACTTTGCAGAAAAGAAAACAGGCTCACATGTTTCTGAGGTTCAATCAATTGTTTGATAAATCAAGTACTGTTTCATTAAAGCAAATTCCAAAACACAGTTTAAAACTTTAACTTTACTTCATCATTTTAATTAAACACAACATTAATTGATTCAATATGCCTGTGATAAAATCCAAGTACCCCTTTATATCTGAGGGGAATATTCTTAAGGAAATACAGAGTTGTAATCCAATATTGCTGCAGGTTCTCTACAATCAAGCAGGGTACTTACATTATCCCCAGTCTGACTAGAAAGTTGAGAGCTTAAAAGAAAACGCATTGGCGTGTGGGTGGGGTTTATTGAAGCATCTAATTACGTTAAGAAATTGAATACAGGTTCAAGATGAGCCTGGTTAAGCACTTCTTTTACTTGCACAGAATGACTGACCATATTTTCACAGCTGGAATTTCCTCTTTTTTTTTTCAGTAAAATAGCCAGCTTTTGCTACATTGCTCTTTTAGTAGTCCAGAAGAGTAGCACTACAAAGGAATGTCATATATGAACACTCTGCATCTCATTCGCTTCTTAATTCCTCTATGTAAGTCCCCTTCATTTAACAAATTATCACTTGACACAAGTTGTGCATAAGAATTCTTCACATGCTTGGTCATTTCAGTAACATGTAAGAACATCTGCAAGAATTATAAGTATCGTGCAGGAGGCAACATTTTTTTGGAGACTATATGCTACAGCAAGAAATCAAGAGTTATATCTTCAAAATTACATTTTATTCCAGAGGGGCTGGGCCTGATTATCAAGCCATAGTAGAAATGTGCAATTATTATGAAATATCAGTATTCACTGGTAATTGTTATATAAATAAAGCATATATACTCTGGAGTGGATCAAGGCTTAAATACTGTTAACTTTGAGAAAAGAATCTGGGCTACATGCTAACTTAAATCAATATGTTCCATTGATTCCAAGGAAGCTTGGCAGGATGCACAGCTGAGGAACTAGCACATTACTTTTATGTCTCTTAGAGCCTTGCTCAATACTTAAAAAAACCTCCAACCCCTCTTCTTTCAAGTATATTGGAAAGGATGCCCATTTATACATTAAGGGAATGATTTCATCTCTTGCAATTTCAGATCTGTAATTAGGTCATTAAGGAATGAGATAAGTGTGTTTTAAGTGTAAGAGCAACTTAAAAAAAATATTAGGCCCTAAGCAAATAAAATAAGATAATTCTTTCAACTCCATAAATATCCTTGCAAAATACTAAGGGGAAAAAAAGTTCTTGAAGGATATAAATTTGCAGATAATGGAAAGTTGGACTTGAGCCAACTGACAGAAACAGAGGTCAATGCACCTACTGAAGTCAAATTTACCTTAAGACAGTTTATATTATTGCGCAGAAATTATAGGGTCATAACATCAAACTTCACATGCAAACTTTCCTGAGAAAGCCCTCCCTAGAAGGGAAAACTTGGAGATGAACATGTAAAGGAATTTCCATTTTCTTTATGTACAATTGCTTAAGCTGTACAAATATGCAAGGTCAGCAAGAGTCGCAGCTGGTTTCTAATGTAGAAAACAAACTGAACTTCTCATTTACTTTTAATTTATGAAAGCAAAAACCAAGTAAATGCCACGATGCTGCCAGAAAATTGCTGCAGTGACAACATCCCTTAAAAGTTTCCTTGTGAAAGCATGAACGTTTTCTCTATAATTGTGTATAATAAAACTGCAGAAACTTAACATGTGAATAGTACCTTTTTTCCTATAAAACCCTGCACCTGCAGAAAATAGCTAAAAGTTCATGTTTTCAGAAGCATTAATTAACAATATAGACAGTGATGTAAGTGGACCTTTTAAAAATGACATAACTGAAATATTACAAAGTTCTCTGAATAGAAGTGAAATTTAAGACAGGTATTTGCAATAGTTTACCCTTACAGTTATCTATGTAATTGCAACTATTACATACAGCCATTTTCCAGATCACATAAAATTGCATGTTCAGCAATTTATAAATAATTCTCAGTTCTAAAATAATGTTATTGAAAAGTGCACAATACTCCTCAAGCCAGCAGCAGACAATACACAGCAAAATAAAACTAAAAAATTATTTGAAATAGTAATAAAGATTTACCTTCAAGAAATCACACAAGCAGCACTTAACTAATTGTGTTGAAAGACTGTTGATTTTTTCCATTGCTTCTTGAAAGTGCAAAGTCTGGAAATGAATTTGTTAGCAGTAATGATGAGAAAAAAGAAATCCAGAGAGATGTGAGATGTTGAGAGCAATGTCACATTTCAATATTGAGGACTTTATTCCATTGCGCAGGCTCTATCTGCTCTGATTTTAGCAGTGACAGTGAGATTTAGCAAACAGAAGAGGGATTTAGAGAAAATCCTCACATTTATCTACATTACACAGACACTGTAGACAGGAAACAGCTGGGGGAGCATTTGCCTCTCTCTCTCTCCCTCTTCTGGCAAAGTTACCGAGTAAGGACTTTTTTGGGCATGGTGACAAATAACATCATACCTTTGCATTTTAAAACTAGAGCACAGAAGCATATTTTTTTCCCTTTAAAAGAATGTGAATTAGTGACTGAGGGGTTAGCAGACAAAAAGAGCTTGTGCTGCCATGAAAAATAAGAAAATGTATTCTGGTTAACTTTCAGGTAGCTGTGTGTGAGCGTTTGTATTTATGTGTATCTGCATTTCAAATATATGAAAACTTAAATATGTATGGGCAATGTTTGTATATATGCATACCTTTGTGTATATACATAAACACACATTTTATTTATGCATAGCAGCATAGGTATTTTATTTATATAGTAACAAAAGGCAGGCAGGCAGTTATCTACTTTTCCCTTAATGTGTTTTTATGTTATTAAACTTGGCACGCCTATATGCTGACTACCAATTAAAACCTCCAACTCTCTCCATGATTAACCCTAAAACAACAGTTTGTAATTTGCTAAAAATAACAGAATTGTTGAGAACTACTTGTAAATAGGGCAAAATAGCTTTGTGATGTTTCAACAACCACACAGGAGAAATAATGTAATTTCCTAGAACTTACAGTACTATGAACAGAGTAATCAAGTAGCCCAGTTTGGGGGGCTTCCATGACATTTATCTTATATCTGCTGTTGTAATTATAAAGTGATAACCCCCCCCCCCCTTTATAGTAATAATCTTCAAATTTCTTTTGATGACAATTTAAATGACACTGAGAAAGACAGAATTCAACTTTATTAGTTCTGCAATACCTAACTTCTGCCTTTTTATTTTTCCTCAATTATGAGTATATTATAAATAACACCAGCTGGCCAGCAACATGCTCTCACGGGTTATGATGTCATTCAAATCCCTCAACTGTGTTAGTGGCTTGCAATGTGCTCCAAGCCAGCTGTTTTTCTATTTATAATGTATGCTTGCATTTCAATACTTAGCTATTGAGAATAAAGTTGTGATGTTGTTTTATAGACACAGTTTATGCTTGTTACCCTCGGAGTTTGGAAGATGGCATTTAAAAGTAGAGGGCTAGACAAGGCTGCAGCTCCAGAGACCAAACACATGTCACAAGCAGTGCATGAATTCCATAAAAGCTCTTTCAGAACATTGCATTTTGTCCCTGTCTGCTTCCCCTAAGTGAGGGTTGCATGCTGAGGTGTTAGCTGTACTTTATTATTGAAAATAACAATTGAGACCATGTTGGCCCAGATCTGTTGTCAGTTTTCAGATCCACCTTGAACTATAGGGTGCTTGCCAGGCAGAAAGGACACATTTAGTTATTTGTATCCTCCATGAATGGCTAATGCTCTGCTCTGTGCATTTTTAAACAGTGTATGGTTAGCTAAGCTGATTAATCTTTGGAAGGGATTTCTTCTAATGTACCATAATGGCAGAAGCACAGGGGGCTTGGAGGTAATTTTGCTTGGTTCAGGTAATACTGATATTTCAGGTATTCTGATACACATTTGTACTGCAGGTGCTGTGTTTTCATGTTCTGCTCTGTTTTATCCTCCCCTCTGCACTTCAGAGGTCACTGAGTGGTGGCACCATTCTGCACATACCTTGATGAAGCCTGCTGCAACTCGCAGGACATGTATCACTCACTCCACTAGCCTTAGAGAAGAATGTGGGAAGACAAATTAGAAAGCTCTGATAATCTTTATAATCTTTACCTTTTTTATTTTTTTTCTTTTTGCAGCACAACAGATGGGTGCACACACTTCTGCCTTTCCCTTCCTAAATGAGAGCAGGAATACACTCCTCCATAACCTCCCTGCTGCCCAGGCTTCAAACACTCCTCACTCTTCACTGTTTGATTTCTCCATGGTTTCAGCAGGCTTCTCTTTGTCATGAGAGCAGCAAGCAGCTGAAGGCTCAGCTTTGGGCTCTCAGGGTAATCAGAGAATCATAGTGTCTCTAAACAACTGTTACTGCTGGTTATTTCCACAGTGCCATTCTCAACACACCTGACCAGCCTAAGGATCTGTCCCACTTCACTTCTTTCTTTTGGTTCTTGTTTTAAAGTGGTATTGAAAAGGCAGGAAAACAGAAGAGATTCAAGATAGGTTTCCATTAGGGATTTTTAGACTTGGTGCAGTGCTTTTTTTCACAAAGACCATTTTTTAAAACAGAAAATTAAAAATCCCTTAGGTCATACTGATCTGATGATCACTAGTTTCCTAAATATAGCTTCTATGCTGGTGATAGTGTTCTGGTCAGCATATCAGTCAGTTAACTATTGGAGATTGGTTCATTTCTCCCTTGTTAAATTTAATAACTTTTTAAACCACTTAGAATAAGTGACTGCTTGCTTATGCAGTCGTATACATTCCCTTAAATAGAATGCACCTGTAAACTACAGAGTTTATGGCAGTTTTCAAAGTATTTACAAAAGATGTACAGTTTTCTACTTGGAATGTGTGTAGCTATTCTACATTAAAATGCTATAGTATATATATCCTTGTTTGGCTTCTTAAGTATAACCTTCAGTGTTATAATAGCCACAAAGATATATGAAATGTGTGAGAGATGGAATCAGGTATTTATGTGTGTTTATGTGTCCTGACCCTCATATTTTGTTCTTTATTACTCCAATGATTTCACTAACATGCTCTAATGCTATAGATCTCATGTGTCAGTTTTTCCAGGGACAACTCTGTTTTATAGAAGATAGCAAATACAAAAATAGGCAATTATCCTAATTAATATATTGTCTCTACCTAAATCCTTTCTTAAAAGGTAGCAACATTGCCACAGTGTCTAAAAACACCTGAACCAGTGTGCCTTTGTTGTGCATTCTTCTCTGTTAGATCACTCTTACCAAATGCAAGTATTTGTAGCTGTTGTCTGTTTTTTCACACTGAGATTACAAGTTTTCCTATAGAAAACCAAGACAGAACCACTCTGGTAGAAAGAACCCCTGTAACAGATATCACCACTATAACAGATATCACTGAGAGGGTGATAGGGCATGGTTTAGGAAAGGATGGAAGAAGGCAAATAAACCCAGTGGCTGGCAAACAGCTGTTCTTCATTATATAAAATGGCAGAGACAAATTTGTCTTTGCAGGAAGAGGTGAAGGGGAGTATTTTATTAATATGGAATTCTGTTTTGAAGTCAGTGATTAGTCAAATGTATGGTGGAAAATTCCTTTCATCAAATTAAAAGTTCAGAAGTCAAAAAAAAAATTTTGCTAGTTGATATGAGCTAAAGAACTTTTTTTTTAAAAAAGGCTCAGACACCTTTTGTAATGGTGACCCAAGCAGCATCATCCCTAGATGAAATACAAGTGACAAATTTGATGGGAAGGATGAGGTCATGGAGACTGAGCTGTCATTGCTTTGTCAGTACTGAAAAGACACCAAGGAGAAAGCAGGGCCATGAAAAACAGTTTCTCATTTGGGCAAAACAGGGAGAGTGCAAGCTTCATGATTAAGTTTTAGGGAGGATCACATAAATTTTCGTGCTGATCAAGAAAAACATGAGTGTTGGATGTGTGAGAAAGTCCAGAATTATGGCTTATAGGTAGCAGTGGTAAAAAAAATGATGTTAGTAACAGCTCAAAATTAATCCATGGACATGTAAACTGATGGTGTATGGTGAAAATGCTGTGATGATGAGCAAGATAAAATTACTTCAAAATTTTAATGTACAGCATTAATTCAAGTAACTGTTGTTTTGATAACTTTATATTAACACGACGTTTTCATTCTTTCTGAAACAAATGTGCTGTGAGTAATAGAAAGTCAAATATTGATCCTATTTTCCTACTCAAATGAAATATACATTAACTCTTGTTGGTTATAATTGTTCACAATTTGAACAATTAAATTTTGAAAAATTATACTATATTATGGAAGCTACGCATTAATTGTGTCATGAGATGAGCTATAGTTATGACTGTAGAAAAATACAAAATATCAAAATATTAACTAAACAAACAAAACCAAAAAGCTCAAAAAATTGTGTTTCAACATTTCTGAGAGCATTTTTTAAAGTTTTTTTTTTAATTTCTGCTTTGTGGGAAATTTTGAAATAGTTTGTTCTGAATCAGAATAATCAAAATACCAGCATTTTCCATTAAACTGGAATTTCCCAGTTTTAGCTGTTTGTAGTCTTGCTCTCACTTTCCCAATATTAATTCCTGAATAGGTCATCTTTGCTCAAAAATTTGCTTACTTTCCTATTCCTAAAAGCAGCAAAAAGTCAGAATTAGGAAAGAGAAAAATTTAGGACATATGACTGTGTAAGCTCTGTCCTTGCATTCATAGAAAGAAGGTAAAATAAGTGGGAATTGAGATGGGCAAGCATTAACTTACATGTGTATGAAGAGTGATTTCTGTGATTCATTTAAGTGCCTCTGTCACAGAAAAAAGAATGCATAACCTTATATATTCCCTTAATTTCCTAGAACTGTTTCTTCCACATTTAGGTGGAATGTAGAGACATATTAATTTTTTCCCTGAGTAATCATTAGCATCAAGGCTAAATATGTGCTCACAGATTTTTATAGAATATGGTCTAGCACATATGTTTAATGGTATTTTGCTTTTTCTGTAAGTTAGACACATGAATGCCAATGCCTATGTGTTTTTTTTTTTTTAATTGCTGACTTAGGAAAAACTGTAAAGAGAACTGAATACTATAAATTTTATTACAAGCAGTGTATTTGTGTATGTCCATACAAAGCCAACAGTGTAAGAAAATGACAAAAATGCCCATCTATTGTATCTTGGCCTGAAGAGTATTTGCATGAGTTAGACACTTCAGATACTGCTCCTTATTCTACTTAAAAGCAAACTCTATTTGGAGATGAAATAAGATATCTCTAAAAAAAAAAAGAACATCTGCTTTGACCATTTAAAATTTATTTAATTTGCAA